CGGCGCAGATCATCCACTAAGGCGACCAAGGCTGTCTCGGTACCATGCCCCGGCCTAAAGCCAGACTGTGCCTTGATGGAGGAAAGCGGCATTTAATTTTTTCCAGTGTGCCAGGAGCCATATTTGTGCTCATTTATTTCAATTGCTTTATTCTTTCCTGGAAGTTCATCTAGGTATGGCGGCCAATGACTGAGCAACTAGCAACATTTTAAAAGCAAGACTCTTGTTCTTTCTGCCTAAAACGAATACAGCTTCCCCTTTGGAAGTTTTTATTCATATATGCGGCCTAGAATGAACATTATTTATTATTTGATTTTATTTTCATCCCACTTTTCTTCCAATGTAGGAACTCAAGGTGGCCATCATCACCACCAATTATATCATCATCAAATGGAACTATTAATACTGGGAATTTTAGTTCTACGTTTTTGATGCTTTAAGCTCAGTAATTGCCCCCACATTTATTTTGAATTATTTACAGCTGTAGGAGCTACTAAATTTTCCCTTAAGAGTCAATGATACTTATTATTCTGTCATCTCTGAAATAAACACTTTTTTATCCATAAGGAAAGGATGCGAAGCTATGATCCAAATCGAACGTCCATAATTCACTGTTGTTTTGCACTTAATGTAAAGGATAGGATATTCTGTAGCTGTCCGATAACTAGATTCTGTCCGTAAAAAAAAATCAATATATTGATTTGTTGTCCTCACTAACAGAGATAACGGGCCATAAAATAGTGTTTATTATGAGAATTTATTCTGTATGCACCATCCTAGAATAGTTATTATATGTTGATTTTTTAAATGTTTGCTTTCCATCTTTACCTTTAGCTGCCGCCGAATGCGATCAATAAAAAATTGCCAGCAGTTCTCTTTTGAATCAGCCTGGCCAAGCCCCCGTAGCTCCATCCTTGTAGAAGAAATTATGCCATCCACCTCATCTTCACTAAATAAATCAGGGATGTCACCTAAAAAGAGGAAGAAAATCTGTAAATTGAATTTTATATCTAAGGTTTTATATTCTTGATAGAGATTAATATATTACCCTTATTTACTCTGTGTAAGAAACCATATGCTATTCTTTGCTATTCAGCAAAGAAGCTAACAAAGGAGGAGCTATAGTCATCATGGACAAATCTGACTACAACACAGGAAGCCGAGGGACAGTTGTACAACACTACATTTTACAGAGGCCGGCTTAACATTTTCATTGATGAATACTGGAGGAAATTACACCGGGAATTTCCCATGTAGATGCAGATACAGAACTACATCAGAATTGACATCCCAGGAGCCTCAATCATCTTGAAATACTGAAACAGGAAACCCTAGACAGCCTATTGTCTCAAGCACTGGAACACCCCAAGTTGGTGTCTCCAGATATGTGGGCAATATTCTTACACCATTTGTCACCAGGGCTGACAAATATATGAATAGAATTACTTATTACCTGCAGAAATTGCATTCTATCAACAACATTCCACAGAATATCATTTTATCTGCTATAGACGTGGAATCCCACTATACCAACATCTTGCACAAGTGTGTGTTACAAGCTGTCAGGAACACCATTCCAGAGGGGACCATAGAGGTCTTAGCTACCAAGGTCTGCTATTTCATTCTTGGCAGGTATTGCCACAGCACCCCCGCCCCCAATTTTGGCCTAAAACCTTCCTTAGAGGACTGCAAATTGATGGTGATTCCAAAAGTCGGTCCCCAGCCCCCAACCCATATGTGGAAAGGAGTCAGTCTTCCAAAAAAATCCACACCTTCCGAGCAGGGCCGTAGCCAGGATTTTGATTTGGGGTGGGGTGGGGGCTGAGTCTGAGTGAAAGAGGGTCTGGCCTAGCTAACCTTTTGTATTGTTACCTGAATACCCCCATGCATATGGATATATTGAGCATGGTGATCAGATCATGATATGAATAAACATAACAGTTTAAATAATGTACAGTAAGGCCTTCTCGCAGACCACCCTGAGAATTTCGGGGGGGGGGGGTGAAGCCCCTCAAGCCCCCCCCCCCCAGCTACATGCCTGCTTCTGAGGTATTTTGAAAACTCAGATTAGTCTGAAGTGTCATTTGAATGCCTCAGGCTAATCCATTTCTCAGCCCACCTTAGTTTAAAATATTGCAATCAAAACTTGATTTAGAACAATGCTTTTTCAGCAGGTTTGCAAATACCATCTTTCTTTCTTCCAAATACATACAAATAGGTATTTCCTGGTCTCTCTGTCTCCCCCTAGATAATCATATAATGCTATTTTATCATCCTTAGGGTACAGATAACATAATTGTGTCTTTTCAACATGGGAGAGTCACCTCCTTGACAAAATCATACTGTTGTCCTAAAACATGAAAATTCTGAGAAGGCATGAGATCTTCTGCATTATAATGTTGTGTAAGCAATTAGTGAAGAAACACTGTCAGCAGAGATAATTTTAATGGGCCTACAGCACTACTTTAAATGAAGTCTTTGCCATCTGTTCTCTCAATTATAATCATAAAACCAACATATCTTACAATAGCATCAGAGAATACAAGTATAACTGTGCCCCTCCTGTTTTCCTCACAGTCTCTCTCTACACCTTAATTTAACTGTTAAGAAAGCACAAGGGAGTGATATTTTGCTAACATAGGATTAGGTTCTATTCTTGCTCTTGGGCCTCATTGAAATCCATATAGAAAGTTAGCCCTGATTTAAATTAAGCCTGTCATTAAGGATGTGCAATTTTTTGTTAGTCATCGTAACAAAAACAAATTTAACAAATTTGTTAAATTCGTATTTACCATGCGATATCCAATGCGTGGACCTGGGCCGTGCCAAAAACTTAAGAATCAAAACTTACCCAATACTTTTTTGTTTTTTAATAAATCTCAGAAGCCTCCTAAAGTCAGTTTCATTTTTAGCACAAGGAAGCAAAGCAAAGCTAAAAAGACCGCCTTTCCTCTTTAAATAAATGGCCTCCTGCCATTAAGAGAGTGAAGCAGCAAGAAGAAAGCAGAGTTCACTGGGAAAGAAAGCACATTCTGGAAAATGTAGTTTGGGAAGGCGAGGAGCCCTATTCCAGAGAATTCAAAAGGCCCTGCCCTAAACTACATTTCCCAAAATTCTGTTCAGCATCAGAAGTCCCAATCAGGAGAGGGAAGAGATTGGTCCCTCCTTAGCTGCAGCCAGCCAGAGTTCCAATTAAATTGTTGAATCTGAGAAGAGGAGAACTGACTGATACTTCTAGAAAGTAAATCTCTCTTTTGGGCTGGGAAGAAATCCTGAAATGGAAGTTCTATTGCTTAATATGAGAGACATTCAATGAAATAGCTGTTGTGGCTTTTAAAAAAATGTTTTTGTTTAAAGTTTTTTTTAAAAAAAAATCCCTAAAATCAGTAGATATATGAATATTTCTGAAAGTTGCGGGGAATGATCCCCTGTTATCTTCTGTCATTGAAGAGATAATTCAAGGAGATAGCTCTTGCAGTTTCTTTTTAAAAATGTTGTCTATAAAAACTTTGAAACTTCCTCAAAACTCCATCAAGAAGTGGAATGTTCTGAAATTTGATGGGCCAACAGTGGTAAATGTGTTCTACCATTGCAGCAAGTTTCGCCCCAAGAGCTGTAAAAATGAGGGAGAAAGGTGCCCCTGAAGTTGTGCAATTACTATAATGAAGAAGTACTGAAATTTCATTATTCTCGCTATAGTAATGGAAGTTTTATAATAATAACAACAACAACAACAATAATAATAATAATAATAATAATAATAATCTTTATTTAATACCCCACCACCATCTCCCCAATGGGGACTCGGGGCAGCTTACATGAGGCCAAACCCAACAGCATATTACAATAAAATAAAACCAAAACACAATAACAACACAGTAAAATACATACAACATATGAGTACAAAAAACGATAAAACAAAATCATACACAATATAGTTAGTTTTACTAACTATACTTTAGAAACACTTTGGAAACAAAATGTCAGCACCCTCTAATGTCGTAATGACTTCTGGAACATTTTTTTTATCGATCACACATGCCTAGTTGCCAAATTTTGAAAAGTAAAAAAAGAGGACATATTTGTCACCTGACTGCTTCAAACCATTGAGGTTATGATGATGACCTTTATCTTAAATATCCCTACTATGTCAGCTGTTCTAATCACTACTAGCAATATTTGTAATCTTCAATTTTAATTGATTATTCAGCAATATTTAAGAATATAATAACTGATCTGGTTAGAAGTGCATTTTCTCTACTACTAACTTTAAATTGGAGTATGCTCACGTTATTCCAAGTAAAACACTATGGTACATTCTGGTGCCCCCGGTGGCGCAGTGGGTTAAAGCACTGAGCTGCTGAGCTTGTTGATCGAAAGGTCGCAGGTTCAATTCCGGGGAGCGGCGTGAGCTTCCGCTGTCAGCCCTAGCTTCTGCCAACCTAGCAGTTCGAAAATATGCAAATGTGAGTAGATCAATAGGTACCGCTCCGGTGGGAAGGTAACGGCGCTCCATGCAGTCATGCCGGCCACATGACCTTGGAGGTGTCTACGGACAACGCTGGCTCTTCGACTTAGAAATGGAGATGAGCACCACACCCCAGAGTCAGACATGACTGGACTTAAGGTCAGGGGACTACCTTTATCTTTTTTACATTCTGGTATATGAAACCTCTGGTCCAATAAAAACAACTGTGTCCAGTTCTGGCACCAAATTCAAGAAGGACAAGCTGAAACACGTCCGGAGAAAGGTGACCAAAATGGTAAAAGGTCTCGAAGTCAGGCCCTATGGGGATGGGATTAAGAAACTGGGTATGTTTAGCTTGGAGAAGAGAAGGCTAAGAGGAGGAGACTTCTTTAAAGTTTAAAGTATCTATATGGTAAAATTAATGCAGTTTGGCACCACTTTAACTGCCATGGCTCAATGGCATGGAATCCTGGGATTTGTAGTTTGATGAGGCACCAGCCCACTTTAACAGAGGGGGTGAAAGACTTCATGGAACCACACCTCCCATGATTCCATAGAATTGAGCCAGGGCAGTTAAAGTGGTACCAAACTGTGTTTATTCTACAGTGTAGATGCACCCTTAAAACACGGAGCAATTGATTAAAACTACAGGAAATACGATTCCAATTAAACATAATTTAAAAAAACCTCCTGATAGTATGAGCTATGTGACAATGGAATATGCTGTCTTGGAATGTGGTTTGGAGGATTTTTAAAAAACAGACTGGGTAGCCATCTGTCGGGAGTGCTTTGATTGTGTGTTCCTGCATTACAAGAGGTTGACTGGATGTGTCTTGTGGTCTCTTCCAACTCCATTATTTTATGAGTCTATGAACTTATACACTTTGTTCTTTCTCATAATGTTGACTAGCCCAAATGTACAGCTTAATAGATAGGTATGCAACTAGGAAGAAAAACATCTCAGGTTGGCCAATGCCCCCAGAACAGAACATACAAAGATTTGTTTAGACCTTCCCCTTCCCCTTTGCTCTTTTCACCACAGTTGGAAGACTGTGACTCCACAGGATGAGGCTAGTTGTTTTGAGTATTTTTCTCACCCTGCTTTAACCTGGCATGTCACTTTCGTCTTCCTCCTCTGAGCTCAACTACCTGTTAAAATCCCCAGTTTTTCTGAGGTAAAGACTATAATCCTATAAATTTAACTAAGAGTAAGTATCCATAAATTTCTATTAGGCTTGATTCTGCATAGACATCAAAACACAAAAATACAAGAGAAAGCAATTTCTAATTGTGGTTATTCTGGTTTTAACAGATGGTAATAAAATCCCTTCTGAAAAGGCTTCTTCCCCCTCCCCTCCCCCTTTTAGCCTACCCATATGTCTGTTTATGAATTATGTGTGTGCATGTGAAATTGCCAGCAAAGAAATCAGGAAAGCTGTCTGTAAAACCCTTTTCTTTGGTATCACTTTCTCCATTTGCTTAACCACACAAAACAGGAGGGCTCAAAATCCTGCTAAAAAAGGGAAAGAGGTGGGATGGCTCCCAAAATCTTCTCACAGGGTGGTTCTATTGAATTTGAAATGGGTGCACTATCTGCTGCTCTGAAGATTAGGACTCGGAGCAATGGGTTAAATTACAGGAAAGGAGATTCCCTTGAACATTAGGAAGAACTTACTGACCTAAGAGCTGTTCAATAGTAGAACTCACTGCCTCTGAGTGTGGTGGAAGCTCCTCCTTTTGAGGCTTTTAAACAGAAGTACTCACATGTCATGAGAACAACCAGGAGTCAATTCAGAGTGAGTCCAGGTTTTTCTTGCCTGTGTAGATTAATCCTATATCTCACTGAATTTATTTCTGGTGGAAATCCATGTGACTGTGCTACATGAATGGCAAGGACAACATGAAGATCTGACACTGGGGCATCCCCATTCCTGAGGCCCTGACTGTTGCGGGTGCCTCACAACATTAACAAAGGCACCTATGTGACAAGGAAGAGAGTCGGGTGAACACTGGGAGTGGTGATGGTGACACAAGTAGAAGTGACAGTCTAGCAGACTGTGCGGTCTCAACTTTGCTGGACCGTGTGGTGCCGCAGTGAGTTTGACAAGGTATATGTGGCTATTTCTGTAGCCAGTCCAGAGCATTTCTACTCTGGTCTGGTCATAGATTTACCATCCAGTATAGATTCATCCTTTTTAAATAACCGCTCCAAGTTGAATTACATGTGGATACCTGTCCCAAGACCTTATAACAGAGTCAACATCTAGATTTTATCCTTAATATGGTGGAGAAGTTACATTTCTCTAATGTAAATTATTACATTTACATTAGATAAATTTGAAAACCAGGCCAGCTTGCAATGACTGAAGTCCCAACAGAACCAGATGGTGTCAGGCTGGAGTGAAAAGATCGTTGTGACGCTCCATTGTGATATAGATAATTACATTATTAGATGACTTTACCACTGGTTTATCCCTCATTGGTATCTACTAATCAAATGAACAAATTCATATCTGGAGAAATTTATATTTTTGTCAAATGAAAATATTTCAAAGATAATTTTGTATGAATGGAGCATCAGCTATTGATTGTGCATTAGTTGGTGACTTTATTGCACCATATGAAACTGGCAAAAAAATTAATTCAGGTACAAAATATACATATCAATCACATTAAGTCCAACAGAAAAGGCCAACCCATCTCTGCAGCATGTAGGATAGCCTAGCAAGAAACACCTCCTTTGCTTAAAGAGCTGGGATACATGGACACAGCAGAATAAGTCCTGCATCGAGAAAAAGTATATACACCTTTTACAAATATTCAATTCCAGAGATAAACACACCTAGTCAGAAAATGCCTTCCTGCATTGCTAACTCAAGTCACTCCACAAGAAGAGGGTTAGAGATCTAATTTAGGAACAACAGACATATCCCAGAACAGGAGATTAAAGTCAAAATAGAAGGGTTCTTAGTAGAGCAATTTTTTTATATGTTTGCACCCGCAGTGCTTGTCAGTACATTTTAAGAACCAAGAATCACCCAGATTCTATATTTGACAATGTGGCACAGAATCCTCCTACAATTTTTGACTTGAAAGATGCACCACAAATTATTAATACTGATAGTTTACACCGGCAAAATGTGTGTGGTGTTACACCATGCCATTTTATACAACAATATCAAATATTAAAATAGTAGGATTTATAATAAACAGCATTTTTTCTTGATTGCAGCTGATTATGTTATGCATCGTGTTCTGCTGGTGTCACAAAGGTGACTTAATAGCTCCTATAAATCATTTCAACAGCTGACCTTTCCCCCTCACTGATGAAGCCTATTCAAAACCTGATGGCCTTTTGCTCACTTCAGGATCCTCTATTTCTCATCAGTTTTGATCATGAATATATTTATCAAAGCTTCTTTTTTTAAAAAAGTGCATGAAGATTTTAGCGATCTCTTGAAAAGATGCTATTTAAATAAAGTACAAAAGAAAGAGTCTTTCAATCTCTCTGGTTTTTTATTTGTGAGTTTTTGCTTACCTGATGCCAGCATGTCGTTAATTAATACGAGAAAACGCTCATCAGGGATCTGAGCATCTGCATGAAGAAACACAGTACCGATGTTCTTCACGCCAACTTTAAAGTAAAGTGTAGCAATATCGCTCTGTAGAAGAAAGGGAGGTTTAGATCATTACCAAAATATGCATACAGAACAATATTGTCAAGCAAAGCAGCCTCATGAAAGGAAGGTTTAAAGATTCAGCTTTTAAAATTCAAATTATCTGAAGAGGAAATTACAAATTTGTACAATATGGCAACCTATGCTGGTTCACTAGTTTGCTAAGAATCACGTTGTAGGCTCCCTGCTTCCCCAGTGATGAGGAATTTGGGGGGCAGCATACTTTTCTAGGTTTGTGTTTCTTTAACAGGATAACTCATTAAGGCATTATGATGTTTTTAACTTTTCGGCCTTAATTACATATATACATGTTGGGCACAATAAAGGAATTGTCTGAAATCTATCTTGGAAGGCCAGATAATTAAGATGAGACTATCATACTTTGGCTATATCAAAAGACATGACTCATTAGAAGAGATAATAACACTTGGTATAGTAACCAGTAAGGAAGAGAAATGCCACATTCCTCATGGATGAAACCAATTAAGGAAGCCACAGTCCTGAGACTGAAAGACCTGAGCAAAGTTGTTGATGGCAGAGTGACTTGGAATCTCTCATTCATAGGGTCACCACACCTCAAAATTGAAGGCACTTAAAAGCAACAAACGTGAGATAATGGAAGGAGGGAGTTTCTTGGTTGCCAAGGCAAGCAGGGGATTATTAAAGCCAAACTGTGGCAAGCAACCTTGCCTATTTCAAGTAGGAAGGATCTCTCAACTTTTTGAAAGGTGAGGGGGAGCCTCAAACAGCTTCTGATTTTTATGTATGCTGTGTATGCTTTAACAGGTCAGTTAAACGAATGCAGCATCACCAAATTACTTTAAAATATCTGTTTTTGAATGAACACACTTATGTTCACACTCACACTGGACAACAGCACTATTTGATCCACATAAACATATTTAAATCAAACCTTTGGAATGTATCCTGAACATAAGGTATAACTAGCAGTGGAGGCTGCTGTGTGATATTTTAAGAACCTGTGAGGATCCATCCTTCAGTTGGCCAACGTAAGCAATGGCTCATTTCCCACTTAATCTTCATAATCTATTGAGCCAACTTCAAATTTTGAGATATTTAATTTTGAGATTACAATCACCTCAACCACTGCAGTCATTTCAATATTTCTAAGTAAAATTTCCACAATTTTTAGGCACAATTTTACATAGTGCATCCTCCCAGTATTACCAAGAGCATGCCCCTTTGGGTGACTCTAATATTTTTGACTATGGACACTAGATATTTAGGATATGAGACATTGGAAGTCCATTTTATGAATCAATACAGAAAGTTAACAAACCACAGATATGCAAAATAAAAAAAACATCAAGGAAACAAAGCTGAATAGCTGAAATGACATTAACATGTGAACTGAGGCTAATTTATTAAGTTATTGGTAAAATTGGAATTTTTTAAACATGATCTAGAAACAAAGAAACACTCTACAGGACTATACAAGCCTGCAGAACAATGATAAGCAGGGCTCTTGGCATTTACAAGTATGTTGGTACAAGCAAAAAGCAAAGGTGCCTAAGGGGCAATACATAATTATCACTTTGTAGACATGGTTATTGTTATTTCAGAAAAAAATGCTATTCGGTGAAATGAACAAAATGTACTGCTTCTACAGCAACCTGAAGATTAAATCAACCATTTTGTTAATTGCCATCCATATAACATTTAATTTTAATCATTTGCATATAATAATACTTATAGAATATGTTCTCCTAAGAACTCAAGGGCTTCACATAATTGCTTTACTAAACTTTTCTACCATCTATTTAGTTAAATAGGCTAATATTATTCTCATATTATAAATGGGAAAATGAAGCTGGAATCATTTCTTTTTCTTTAGGCCATTCAATGAATCCATGGCTGCCAATCTTGGTCATAGATGCTCTTAACTGTATGCTACACCAGATTCAATAATGTTGTTGTTCATGATGATGCTGTGTGCTTTCAAGTCACTTCTAACTTACAGAAGCCCAAGGCAAACCTTTCATGGGGTTTTCATGGCACTCAAGGTTTGTCATCACCTTCCTCTGCGGCTCATAAAGTCTGACTTGTCCAAGATGACCCACTGGGTTTCCATAGTTGGGCAGGGACTGGAATCCTTGTCTTCCAGAGATCTAACACTCAGACCACCATAGCATATTGTGAGATTGTTGTATACAACAAGAAGGCCATGCCTCCTTGTTATACATGAAACTGGCCAATGTTTAATGACATTTTGGTAGAATTTCAAGGACTTTCATAGGACATAATCAACTCTCACTCTGTGAGATGGCCATCCCTATGATGAGCAGAGATTGGATGCATTATTTTTGTTACTTCAGGAAAAATTGTTGGCCTCTCATTTTGACCACCTTTTGTGAAGCATAGAACACAACAAAAAACACAAAATGGACTAGCATCAGAACCAGATGAGATTTATCCTCCACCATTTAACCATAGATGTCACTAAAATTTACCACTACATGCACAAAGTGTGGAGTTAATCATTTCCTCTCAAGTGCATTTGTTGGGAACAAGGGACAGGGCCTTTTCAGTGGCTGCTTCAAGACTTTGGAAGTCCCTCCCAAGAAAGACCAGGAGGGCCCATCCCTGCTGACCTTTAAGACATTTCTTTGTCATCAAGCATTTGGGTGGGGGGAGGGGGGATGAGGGGCACACTGCTGGAGAGGTTGTGGGTGGGAGATGGAGAAGATATTTAGTTTTAAATGTAATTTTAACTGTACGAGGGTTTTTATTGTATCTTAACTATATTTTAACTTGTATTCATGACATAAATATTTAATTGTTTTAAATTATTTACAATGTTTTTAAATGTATTGGGTTGTGTCATGTTCTTGTAAACTGCCTTGAGTCCCCGTGGGGAGAAAGGCAGGATAGAAAAAAAATACAGTTAATGAATAAATAAATTCTAATTTGTTCATAATACAATTATATTATAGCTATGTCACTGCAAAAAAGAATTGCTAGAAAGTAGGTGTTAGTAATTAGCTATTGCCAATCTATAGCAAATTAGTTTTCCTGTCACCAAGCACCATATTCTTGAGATTATTATTGTTTATACAGAGCAACTATCATATAAAGCTATATCACATCCCTGAAACTGGAAGAAATGATGCATAATTGGTGATGAGTAATATTAATACGTTGGATTCACCATGTGGCCAGTTTGTACTAGGAAACCAGCTCCTCTTAAGAAGTCACTATGTGGCATTTGATCTTTTGAAGCCTTCCTTATTAAAGGGATTATGAAAAGATATAATTGCCATATAATGATATGATGAAACAGCACTATTTGTATCAGCTGGTGGCCTATTAAGTGAATTGGTAAGTTTGGAGAATAGTTCAGCAGGTGGAGGAGCAGCTCAGCCTGTAACTCAGCAATTGAGAGTCTAGGTCAGATTCTCAGCAGCATTACGCAAGGTCAGATGTGACCCTATGGGACCCTATGGTTTGATTTTCAAAATGGTCACCAAACTCCCCCTATAGAGAACCTTATGCATTTACTCTCTTGCTTAAAATGGCCACCACTAGTTTACTCCATCTCGGGCCTCCAAAATGGCTCCCCCAAATTGCTGCTGAACTCTGCTGAGGCCTATAAAGAAGGCAAGGAAGAATGGAGAGCAGCCATTCTTTCTTCAGTTTGGGCAAGAGAACGGGAACAGAGTGCAAGCACCACTGTCCTCACACTGCCCTCATAACATGCCTAATAGAGGCATGTTGCTTTCATTGCTCTTCTCCTTCCCCACATATTAAGCTGCATTCTCATTATTATTGCTCACTTATATTCCTTTCCCCATCTGTATTTGTATGGATGTAGATATTTTAAGATCAGCAATGCAATTTACACCTCCCTATTGTAACTCTCAGACAAACAGATCCCATTCTTCTTTTTAGATTTTCTTAAGTATGTTCCCTCTATGATTTATTTAAAACAGAGAAAAATATGTATTTGTTACATGCACCTAAATTTTACCATTGACTTAACTGTGGGACAAAACAAAATCCACAATTTTGGTCACAAAACTTGCCCTTGAGTTATGTATGAAGTCAACTTACACATTAGTATATGCGGTATATATTATAGTGACCAAAGTAATTTCAAGCCCTAAAGACTTTAAATACCATGACAGTAAACCATGACTTGTGGACCATGGATATCTTCCTGATCAGCATCCTCTAACTCCCTTATCACACTGGGTCTTTAATGCGGGCAGCCCCATTTTTTTGGCGTGAGCCGAATTCTGAGAAACGTAGTTTGGGAAGGCAAGGACTCCTGTAGCAGAGATTTCAAAAGGCCCTACCCTAAACTACATTTCCCAGAATTCTGCTAACACCAGAAGAATGGAGCTGTCCGCATTAAAGACCAAGTGTTATGAGGCAGCAAATAATCCATTCATCCAAAGCTTCCCCCTCAGTTGTTTCCAACACAGATAGAAGAAATTCCATATAGATACACAGACACACACACATGTAAGTTCAAATTCTTAAATATTGAGAATATTTTTTCTCTTGTAGTATGTGAGTTTGTAGTAGGAAACATATCACAAAGAACATATATGCAACTGAAGAACAACCCAGGGTCAGAATGCTCACTTTGGTACATACCCTGAGATCATGGATACCATAACTTTTGCGGAGAGTTATCTGGAAAACTTCTAGTGAGCTGATAAAGGCAGCTAAGCGGCACAAACTTTGCTTTCCACTTCCTCCAACTCCAATCAAAAGGGCATTTCCATATGGGGCCTCAAGAATACGACTGATGCGGCAACTATAGGACAGGAAAAGATTAAAATGAGACAGGTGTTTAAAAAGGCATTATTCTCTATACCAAGAGTTTTCTAACTTTTTCAGTCACTGAGCCCTTTTTAAAGCAAATGTTTCCCATGGAGTCCCAATAAATGTTTATGTATGTAATGTATATATATCTGGAATGGGCAAAGTTTTGGACACAGGGGCCACATTGCATTTTAACATTTGACAGACGGGTCAGGCCAGTGGCAGATGGATGGAGACTGTTTGTGTGAACTAATTGAAAAAAGAACATAAACTTCCTTCTGCCATGCAGGTAAAGCACAAAGTGTCTCTGGCAGATGGCAATGCAGCCTCTGTAGTAGTAGTAGTAGTAGTAGTAGTAGTAGTAGTAGCAGCAGCAGCAGCAGCAGTAACAGCAGTAACAACCCCAGGGGCCATCTAGTTCAATCCCCTTCTGACATGCAGGAAAAGCACAATCAAAGCGCCCCCTGTGTGTGTGGGGGGGGGGATGTTGAGAAAATGAATCTGGGCATTGAAGGAAGTGGGAGAGAAAGAGTCTGTGCCCCAGGAGGACATTGCTGCTGCTGCTGCTGCTACTGCTACTGATCCTACCATAGTTTCCAGGTTATGAAATGTTTACACCGTCCTCTCAGCTTCTGACCTCTTCATTTCATGTCTCTGCTGTTAGAATAGCACAGATCCTACTACTGTCAGTGACTGGGTGGACCCTATTAATTCTTGACACCAAGGACATATATTCCTATGTTCATGCTGGTTTGGAGAATCTTTAAGATGAAGTCTAAAAACTCTCATTTGGTTGATTAGACTTGGGGAAGTAGAATATGGCAGACTACGAGGTAAAAGAGGAAAATTCCTACTTCCTAATAAAGGTGGAAACTCCCGCTAGCTTCACAAGCTGGTGTCATGTCATGACCAGTGTGGTGAAAGCTACTGTGACTGAAGAAATTATCTTGGCAATATGGGGATGGGGTCATCCTTAGGCACTGTGGATGACATATTTGGCTTTGCATAAAGTCCTTGTCTAAATTAGATCTTAGTGTGAAGTAGTTTATTTGAACAATCTATTTTTACTACTTGAATTTTAATTGCTACCAAGATATCTGGAAGTTTTTGTAATGTATTTTTTTCTGAATGTCTGTGGGCTGCTTTGAACATGGTTTTACCATGGCGAAGCCAAATCAAATATATATGATGCTGATGACATTGAATATAAGCAAAGTTAGATACTATCAGTTTCATTAAGCAGGATCTCAAACTATGTAAAATCCCTATACTGAAAAATCTATAATATTTGAATGCCCCGAAACTGTTAAAGGTCCAGGAACACTGTGTGGTATTTTCATGATAATTAATTAATGGCACATCCACAAGTCCCACATTTTGTTCTCGTTTTTTCCCTTATTTAGTAATAAATCAGTCTGGGGAGCTGATATAAATAGTCTCTGATCATACCAGGAACAAACAGAAAATATTCTTGGATAAACAGAATGTTTATAAATTTTAAATATGAGATTGGAAAGGACAGAAACAAAACCTAAGACTTTTTGTCTTTTTAATGAGTTTGAACACACTGAGACTTCCTTCCAAGTAAATAGATGTAATCTTATATTGTAATCTTGTCAGATATGTTTACTCTATTAATTGATTAATAAGTTAAATATATTTTTTATATTTTCAATAGATATCAAAGGAAAATATAGATATCTTTTTGGAGGTGAATGAATGAAAGTGTTTCTCTGAAATTACAATGTTGTAGATTTTATATTTAAATCGTAGAATGGAAAGGTCATCTGATGTGATACAGTGAGAAGGGAACCTATCCATCTGTGCAGTCTACAAAGCAATTTGCCCTTCAATGACCCTCTATCAGTTAATGGATGGAAATAGCTAACTGGCTATTAAGGCTTTCACTAATTAATCTAACTATTAAACTAATTAAAAGTTGGTAGCCCTACAATCAACCTCTTTTAAGTAAAGAGTTGAAAAATACAACTAATTTTTGAAAACTTTGTTAGTATTGAAGTTTTTGTGACTTTGAAAATGACTCTTTTTAAACATCGTTCTTCTCTATCTGAATGAAATTAACATTTATAGAAAAGGTAGAACCTTTTCTATAAAGACTGCCATGTTCAAAAACAGTCTGGTGATAACACAGGTGGTCTTAATAGCTTGCAATGGGTAGTGATCAAAAGTACTCATCATAACAGTCCCCACAGCCTTTTTTGCCTGTCCAGCCAACTCTCTTCCTGGGCTCCATTTGCATCAAACTGGATCTAATCACCTAGCACTTGTAACTCATAACTCCAGCTGTGCCAAAAACAACTGGATCCTGAGGTACTGGTGCAGCTATCTGGGCACACAAAGACAGTAATTCTCAGGTATGGCAGTTCCCAAACAATGAGAAAGCAATACCCTTTTTTCCCCAACCATGTCATTTCCCCTTTTCTCATGTTCCCAGCGACTGACAATATAATATAATATAATATAATATAATATAATATAATATAATATAATATAATAACATTTCTTGGAGCTTTACAAGCATCTTTTGCTTCAAAAAAGGCTCTACAGCGGGGGGGGGGGGGGGGGGGAATTGAGAACTCCTGGTCTAGATTAAGGAATATAATGTCCAGAGAAAAGCGACCAAAATGGTAAAAGGTCTGGAAGCCAAGCCCTAAGAAGAATGGTTTAGAGAGTGAGGTAGGTTTACTCTGGAGAAGAGAAGGTTAGAAGGCGACATGATAACCACATTTAAATATTTGAACAGATGTTGTATTGAAGATAGAGTAGAAAACTTGTTTTCTACTGCTCTAGAGACAAGGACATGGAGCAATGGATGCAATCTGCAGAAAAGTTATTCCACCTAAGTATCAAGAAGAGATTCCTGACAGTAACAGCTGTTCAAGAAGAGATTCCTGACTAACAGCTGGTAAACTGGCTGGGATTTCTGGGAGTTGTAGGCCAAAAACATCTGGGGACCCCAGGCTGAGAACCTCTGCTTTAGAGTGTGGTGGGATCTCCTTGTTTTGAGATTTCAAACAGGCTGAATGACCATTTGTCAGGAGTTCTTTGATTGTGTATTCCTGCATGGTAGAATAAGGTTGGACTAGATGGTCCTTGTGTGCTCTTCTAACTATGATTCTAGTAGCCTGATCAAGATATTCATCAAACATTATTGCTACCATTTTCAACAGGCAGAGCAATGAGGTAGCGATCAGCCCTGGGTTGAATAGTTCTGTGATTTGAGGTTTCTTATACAGCACTTTGGTTCTGGGGGAATTCAGTTCTTTTTTTGATGAGATTATACTCTTCTGGGATCAGAGCTTCAACAAGAACATATCTTAGCTGAGACTACCTGACATCTGGCCTCAGGCTGAGCTCAGCCTCTACATGCATGACTTCCTACCAGAGTAATTAAGTACATTTTTCTTGATTAACAAAAAACAAAACAAGATGAAAAATTAATTTGCTTTCTATTGCAGATCCCAGTGGAAGAGCCTTTATAAACTCCCTGGGAAACAGTTCCACCATTGCCATACAGATTAGCTATGCTCAGTTTGAGCAGAATACATATAAGTATACTTGTGGAATCTAAAACTACTCCAATATGCCAGAGCAATAAAAAACCCAACATATAACAGATATCACTTATAGATTTAATAGCTGTATCATAATGTATTTTTGTAAATACTGGCACGAAAAAGAAATCAAATTCTCAAGGGATGATTTGGCTGGATACCAGCTTAGCCGTATGGCTCTTTTCCCATCTCATTGCCTTTTGCTGTGTGTGTCTGTGTGTACTCTAGCATACTAGTAGTTACCCTGCAGAAGAGGCCAATGTGCTTGTAGCTCTTCCACTCCAACCTAGAATTTTGCCAGAAATAGTCCTCACGGGTGGGTTTCATATCAGTGGGTTGTTGACTGCATTTAGTAAGCTCTCCATGGTGCTAAACCCTACCTCCAAACAGAGTTAGTCACCTTCGATAGAGTCTTTATAGTTTGGACTAAAATCCAAAAGCAGTCTCACTTCCCAATAATAATAATAATAATAATAATAATAATAATAATAATAATAATAATAATAATACTTTACTTATAACTCGCCCTGTATCCCCATGGGGACTCAGGGAGGTTTCAAGCAAAAGTAACAAAGTAGCAAACATTCAATGCTGAAAAGAACAACAAATCAAAACAGTGGGTAAAACAATCGCAGTATAAAACTATTAAAACTAACAAAAAAAACCCTAAAATTAAACTTAAATAAACAGAACATAGCACATGACAAACATTTACAACATGATAAACTCTTTAAAATTAGACTTAAAGGGCATTAAAAACTAAGATGGTGTACAACATCCAACAGGCAGAGGTAGGTGCCCAATATCTAGGCAAGGGTATATAGAAAGATGTACTAGTCCTCCTCCTCTCTATAAGCTAAGGAACATAAGTGGGGTTTTAAAAAGCTTTTTAAAGGAAATGAGAGAAGGGGGCATTTTTAGTTCTTTAGGGAGGGAGTTCCAGAGGTGGGGCGCAATCAAGAGAACGCCCCTTCTCTCAATCCCACCAACCATGCTTGAGATAGGGGTGGAACCAAGAGCAGGGCCTCCTCCACAGACCTCAGTGCTTGTGCTGATTTGAATGCAGAGACGTGGTTTTTCAAATAGTCTGTGCCCGAACCCTACTGACATGGAAGTGTGTGGGCATTTATGTGAGTTCAAAACCAAATGCTCTTTTACTGAAATTGATGAGATTTTGTTGACATCCAGCTAGATTGTAACTAAAGGACCAGACATAGGGCTCGTGCAAATAATATGCATAACATGTTTTAATATGTTTTAACTTTGCCCATCCATCATATCTGCCCTCCATCTTGTTTCCAATCCCCTCCAACCATCCACAAAAGGATTCCAAAAATAGGCTTCCCCTTTGAAATATGTGTTTGGAACTCATGCGACATACATAAACCATTAATATGCCATTTAGGAACAGAATATGTAGAAGATAATATTATGGAACTAGGATATGAATAAAAACATTCGGAATGTGCAAATGTGCCCCCAAAATCACATTTTGATCTTTCCGTAGTTTCTTTGTATTGGAAACAGGTAGCATCAGTGAAATGAACATACTAACACTAACATATGGCAAACTAGAAAAGCTGTAATACCAAAGTGAGAACAAAAAGGGAAAAGCCATCTACCTCCCCCAGGATTTCTAGAATAATTTTAAACTACCCTCTTTTTTCTGTCATGCACACATGTCAGGAAATGTAAAATATTTGAAAGAGAATAAATATTCTGCAAAATGAATCTTAAAATATCCTTATAGGTCATGCTCCTCTTTGGCCTTGGTGTCTACTGTAGATTTGACATCAGCAGCAGTGTTACCGGCTGGTCACACTGAGTAAGAGGCAATAGGTTACTGTGAAATGTACCTTGAAAGAGTGTGATGACTAAGAAACTTTTAAAGTGAGCCTATGTGCTGTACACCCAGCTTAGACCCAGTCATTGACCGAGAACCCCTTACCCTCTTTCTAAACTTTTACATGAGACCCTTTTTCTCAATATCTTCACAGGTTACTTGGAAATCAATGTTCATTTCAGTAGTGATGTGCATTCAAGTGCCTCTCCCCACATGCCTGGGTTGAGAAAACTTACACGTGCTGAATGGCATCCTCAAAAAGAACAAGGTTCATTGCCGCATGCAGTTCATTGTAGTGCTCTAAAGCCTCCGTTAAAATTCTGGTCAGCTTATTCCAATCAGAGACTGGAAAGTAATGAGGTTCTCCAACACCATGGGCAAAGTGGCAGTAAATTAGTGGCTTGTGGATAAATATGTGCTCATCAACACCCTGATGGTAACAATAGAGAGATACAAACAAGTATTCAGGCTGCATATTAAACCTTTAACATTGTTGAGTCTTCCAATTTTAACTTTTTCTAACAAATCATCCAATCCTGCATGTTTAAAATTATTCAACGGGTGTTTGAATTCATTTTTGTTGTTCCTTAGTAAGATCTATTAATAACATTTTTGTTTAATAAGATCATGTATAATGCAAGGAATTCTTAACCAGTGGTTCATGGACACCTAGGAAATCACTGGATTGACCAAAAGACCATACAAATCAGGCAGACACGCATACACATATATTTATCTTTGACTTTTTTCCTGTTACATTAAAAATTGTGTTTCAGTGCCTTTTTTGCCTTTTTTGCCTCAATGGACTATGTGATCTTAACTGGCCTAGGGGCTTCTCCAAGTGTTTCTTTTTCCTGGAGTACAAAGTAAGAAGTTATACCAGATCCCATATACACATTTACTAAGTAACGTTTTGTTGCAGTCAGTGAGACATGCTTTCAAGGAAGTGTACAAAGAGTTGTAATCTGAATTGTCATGCTCTAGGTGCAGCAATGTAGGGGTAATGGTTGAAAGTCAGATCCTTATGGTAATACAACTAGAGCACCTTCTCACAATATATTGTTTGATAAAAAATCTACCAACCCTCCCCACTACTGCAAGGGTTGTCAGCAAGCCTGAGGATTGTGACAAATGAAATTATCATCCCTGCTAACCATAAAGTCCTGGGGTCTGGTACGGTGAGTCTAGGCTCCACCACACCCTGTTTATCTCTGGGGTATGTGACCCAGAAGGCTGACCGTCCAAGTCAGAGAAGGGAAATAAAAACTTAAAACAGTCTCAAATTTGCTAACCCAAATGTGTTTATATGTGTTTCATACAGAAAAATGTGCAATCATCCTTCTAAAAATGTGAAAGAGAGGAAGGTAGAGATTTGGAGACAAGTATTTAGGACTTCCTGGATTTCTCTGTCTTTGTCTACGCTGTTGTTTCCTCACCTATAACCTGAGTTTATATGAGGTCAATTTGAAAGAGGTTGAGAACAACAAACTGATACTCTCAGGCTTGATTTCATTTTCTCCCACATAACATTTCTTCTCTTTCTTTCATTATGTTGCTGGTGGTAATAGGTTCGTAGAATCATAACGTGGGAAGAGATAACATGGGCCATCTAGTTCAACACTCTGCCATGCAGGAAAAGCACCATGCAGATTTCATCTTTCCTAACAAATTCTGCAAAGATGATTCCTCTCCTGATCTGATCCCTAACCCCAATAAGAACCATCAGCCATGTCAAACAATGGAGTTCTGCAGTGCTGGCGGTGGGAGGCTGAAGACTGGCATGTCCAGCTCCTTCCCAGCAGTGACCTATGGTGCAATAAGCAGAAACAAGGATTTTTGTGGGATTCTGTTACAACTACTCCTCACATCACAGTTTACTGTTGAGAGAGGACTGGTTGTGTCATTCTTCAGCTGACCACTGTCTAGCAATGTGGATCTCTTTCACTCAGTGCAACTTTCTGACTTTTAAGATGAGTTTAGTGGAGCATTTGATATGCTTCAATAATAAATGTAAATATAAAAATGTTGCAAGGTCATGCATCTAACTTATGACTTTATAACTATTGAACATGATACCAGCCAATACAATTTCTTCACTAAAAACAGTTGATTGAACCGATGGTTCCAAACACACTAACAATGTAGATATTTCAATGCAAGAAAATGATTTAGGTATGTATTTCTTTAAAAAGCACCTGCTATACCCCCATAGCAGCCTGAGCAAGTTTAAACTAAGGAATCAAAATTTGGTTATTGTTCATGGCCCTTGTTCATTTGATCACTGAGCACAGAAGCTTCTGTACAAGAAACAAGGGCATAAAACAGCATAGTGATCATTGCTGAAAACCACTGCACTGCTGCTTGTATGCAGAAGAAATTCTAAGATATCTTCAAAGAAATTTATTTTTTCTTACAATCAAAGCTTCTCATTTTTATTGAGGATAGTACTGGAATTAGTATGTGTCTGACAAGTGAGGGTATTCTTAGAATTGAAGAAATATGGGATATCTCAGTATAGAGGAAAGGCTGTGACCATGCAGTCTTTAAGCCACCTTGGACTGTTTTCCAACGTCAAGATCCTTTATTCTTACATTGCATCTTTCATCTTTAAGCCAAGCTGAATGGCAAACAGAGCACCATCTTCTATAAAGTAGGGAACATGGTCAGCAGCCCAGCATGTGGCTGAATCTATGCTTCTTCCTGCCTGCCTTTCCTGTCTCCTACTCAGCAGGAGATCCCCCACCCCTTCCTCATCTATTCTCTGCTGAGGAGGGAAGGGGCAGTTGGGAAGAGAAGCATTAAACCTCTCCTCCCTAAAGACTATAGTCTTGACCCAAATTGGTAGCCCGTCACTAGCTTGTCACAAAGAAAAAGAAACACAGATGTAGCTGCATGCTATATATTAAAAAGTAGTTTGATCCTCACTAATGGTTATTCTGAACCCAGAGAGAAGAATGTTAGATGGTCAAAGACAAACTACGGAGCCAAGACATACCTCAAAATACCGTTTTGCTGTATCAATAAGCACTTTGTTAAAATGTTCAATATCCTTTTCTTCCATAAGTTTGTCTGAGTAGACTCGGGAAGATTCATGAAACCATAAATGAACCAAGTCCACAGGGGACCGTACACACTCTGGGGTTGCTAAAATCATTCCCTGAAAAATAAAATAAAGTGTTTATTTGCCCATTATCTTTCTTCAACATTAGTCTATCAGTTTCTTTTAACTAATATATGTTATTCAATTAAACGTACTCCTATGGCACCAAAAACTTGTAAATTTGTTATTTGCCATATGTGCATATATTTGATAGGCAATTAAAAGCTTGCAGCAAAGTGCAACTCATTGCTTATAATGAGGTACCGTGGTTGCCTCAGGAACATTGATTCCTTTCCCTCCTACACTTACTGTCTATAAATTCTATTTGTGTGGAAATTACCCTTTTTATTTGTCTCTACTGCTTCGCTCTATTGACAGTGTTTGGTTTTCATCCCACCTTGGCCAGCTCCAACATGATTTCATATTTTTCTATCCTGCTCTTTTCTGTCATAATTCATCTAAATTTTAAAGCAGCCTTCTGCAACCAGATAGATGGGACTCCAGTTCTAACAATACAAGTGGCCTTTTTCTCCCTACAGCACACTTCATCTTGTGATAAATCTGTGAAACACCTTTTTGCAGAGAAGAATCACACACACTCCCCACCTACATTATATTCTGGACTCAGAAAGGTATATCAAATTCATCAGTAGCAAGAACTTGCATTTCTTGGTGAAATGTAGGAAAGACAACCAGAGGATCACCAATGAACTACCAAAGTGTCCCAATGCTTGACTGACAATTCCCTAGCTTGATTTCATCTTGCACTTGTAGCAATGAGTGGAGCAGTCACCAAACCAAGAAGTAAACACAAAAGAGCAAAGGGGGAATGAAGTCATTTGTCTGGTTGTGTTAAAGCAGTGATTCTCAACCTATGGGTCCCCAGGTATTTTGACCTACAGCTCCCAGAAATCCCAGCCAGTTTACCAGCTGTTGGGGTTTCTGAGAGTTGAAGGCCAAAACATCTGGGACTCACAGATTGAGAACCACTGTGTTAGAGAGTATCAACATCCATTCTGAAGCTGTCTTGTTATGAGTGGCTTAGGAATGTTTGCCCTTGTTGTGAGTGGTGACACTGGATCTGTTCCTAGTAGTAACTGGTCCCACTAATTCAGTAGGTCACACCTGGGACTAGAGTTTCTATGCTAGGCAGCATGATGGTGATCTTGAGGTGTAAACATTTTCTATAGTTCCACTGTCACAGACAGAGCACTATTTGGTGGAATCAGAACCACCAGAACTTGAAGTTACCAGTTAATTAAAATTATCTATTCCAGGAAGTGGATGGAACCAGAGGAACCTTCTCTTTTTTGGCAGGGGATTCTGTTAAAGGTCTGTTAGTTGTCCTTTTAAATTAGGAAATCATCTTCAGTGATGAGTGGCAGGAAGAAGAGATATAACTACAGGGGAGGGGGGAGTAATGAGGGCACTGTCCTATCAAATAAGGATTGTACATATACTTCCATGATTTTTTTTTTCATTCCCCAAACGTCTAGAATCACAATTTGGAAGTTCTTTGTAAACACATACAGTCATGATCTGGCTACTTCTGCACAGATCAACCATTTTTTTTGTTTCTGTAAATACAACAGGTGCATATAATACAAAAAATAGTAGGTAAAACAGTAAGACTGCCTTACCTGGAAGATGCGTGTCAGATCTCTTAAATTGAAAATATAATGAAATCGAATAGCAGTAGGCAGGAAATTCTGGATCATCTTCTGGTGCAAAGAAATGGCAGCTTGTATAAGCATGCCAAGAGACTTCCCTATACTGTAACAAAAGCCCCCTTGCTGGAAATGCATGTTTATTATCTTGCCATAGATCGTGGCTAAAGCATCTGTTCCTGGGAAGTGGACAGCGAACACAGAAAAATGTCTCTAGAAGAAAGAGAAGGGAGGGGGAAGCATACCAAAGAAATATAATTAATGCCGTCTCCTCTACTATTATATACTTGAGATCTTGAACAAAGAACTGAAAAGGATTTTGCAGGTAAATCTTATTCAGATTGAAAATCCACTAAGCTCTGCATTCAAGAAGTCTAACTATGATACCTGAAAGAACAATTTCCCCTGGTGTTGTTACTCAGTAGCTGTTTTCCCAGCGCAGGATTTTCCCCCAAAATGACAGTGAGCTTGTTGTTACAGCTCACTGTCTTTGACACCTGAGTCCTCCATGAATTTGCTCAGTTTTTTTTGATACCTTACTCCAACCTCATAGCTTTGGCCATGATAGCCAAAAGATTTGTCAACCAACACATTTGGAGAGTTCTGGGCTATGCAAGCCTGCTCTTTGAAGGCTATAATCATATCACATGGCAGTGAAGTGCTTAAATTAGCAATTAGTTATGCTGTTTTCTTGGCCAGTCCTGATTCTATTAGTAGTCAATTTCACTGGTGACCCTGAGTGTTGGTATTATGGGAAGATTTAGTGAGGGAGGTGTTGACAAGCTGCAATGTGTCCAGAGAAATGTGATTAAAATGACCAAGGATCTGGAGAACCTGTGAGGAGTGGCTTAAAGAGCTGGGCATGTTTAGCCTGCAGAAGAGAAGGCTGAGATGAGACATGATGGTGATGTATAAATATGTGAGAAGTCATAGGGAGGAGGGAGTAGGCTTCTTTTCTGCTGCCCTGGAGACTAGAATGTGGAACAATGGCATGTTCAAACCTGAACATGAGGAAGAAGTTTCTGTGAGAGCTGTTCAGCAGATGAACTCTCTGCCCCGGAGTGTGATGGAGGCTCTTTCTTTGGAGGCTTTTAAACAGAGGCTGAATGGCCATCTATTGGTGTTACTTTGAACATCATTTTTCTGCTTCTTGGTAGGGGGTTGGATTGGATGGCCCACGAAGTCTCTTCCAACACTAGGATTCTGATTCTATAATTAAAAACTCTGATCCAATTGAAAGCATAGGTTAACTGACCAAAAGTTGTATTCTATTCCTAACTGTTAGCATTTTTAGACTCCAGTCCAAATTCTCTGACTGCCCTAGTGATCCATATCGGGCACACAATCTGAGTTAGGTTTTGGTTTTTCAAAATGTATGTCACCTTGGTTATTTGATAGACTCATCCACTTCAATGGATACTGACATGGACTGGTTTGAAGAGTATGGAAGTGAGTGCTGTTGGGTTTGACCCTGTTCTTTGACTTCATAATATAGTGCAAAGATTCATTATCTCTCTTTCTCTCTTTTTTTAATAAGCAAGGGAAAGGAATCACTTTCTTTGTGTATTTAAAACAACAACATGTCCCACTGGGGTATAAATGCAAGGGGGCACCAGAAAGTTAATGCTCTCTCTTTGCCGAAGTTGAAATAGCTTTAATATTACTGTATTCAGAATAAGAACAGCTTGTTCGCGCTTGGCACATATGGCAACCTACCTGAAGACGCTGATTTACTGAAAAACTTCCAGCCGTGGGATTCATGCACGTGACGTACTGACAATTGTGAATTTCTTTCAAAATCAGTTTTTGTCTGTCATACCTATGTAGTTACAAAATAACAAAGGGATAATAAAACTCAATTGTATATTCACAGTTTGAGATCCCTATTGACAGATCTTCACAGTGAAAGCTGCTGTAAGAAAGTCTGATTATGTAGCCCTCTGTTAAAAGATCTGAAAACCTTTTCTTTTGTCCCTGCTCTCTTATAAGAGATTTCTATAATTCTCAGTCTCTTAAGCAACTCTGAAGACTGACAGTACCTCAATTTGGCCTCCTCTCATCAAATTATGACAGTCGTGTTCAAGCATTAACCGTGTAAGGAAAGAGTTCCCACAGTTGGGTTCTCTTCAATGGGGCCATTGAGGAATGTTAACCATTTTGGTAAATAAAGTGAGTGCTAACCTGCACAGAGGAACAGACTAAAACACACAAGTTTAAGGGGCATACGGGTGCCTTCAATAAATACATAAAAATGGCAGCAGACAATGTTGTTGAAGATGGAAAGTGGAGATAGTCAGTGCTCATTGAGACAATGACTACAGCTGGGGTCCTCAAACTAAGGCCCAGGGGCCGGATATGACCCTCCAAGGTCATTTACCCGGCCCTCGCTCAGGGTCAACCTAAGTCTGAAATGACCTGAAAGTGCATTAAAATGTTCTTCATTTTAATTATTGTATTGTTTTAAAGTGTTTTTTGCACTACAAATAATACATGTGCAGTGTGCATAGGAATTCATTCATTTTTTTTTCAAATTATAATCCAGCCCTCCAACAGTTTGAGGGACTGTGACCTGGCCCTCTGTTTAAAAAGTTTGTGGACTCCTGGACTACAGAGTCAAGTGTGGACAGATCTAGCTAATACAGTAAGAGGATCTCATGTTCAGACTGAATGTTTAAATAGGGGATGGGGAACCAGAGAACTATGGTTTCTTTCTGTTGGGGAAGCCACATATGGTTCCTTATATCCATCTGTGGGCACCTGTCATAATCACTCATGTCATGCAGCTATGAGCTCCCTGATACTGATACTGAGCACATGGCTCAAGGGAGAACAGGATGCTGGAAGGACACATGAACCATCCATAAAGATCAATTGCCCTGATGTGTGGGAAGGAGGATTCTGGCATACGGGAAAGGGCAGACACCAGACATCGTAGGAAAAGCTCTATGAAGTGCAAGCTTCTTGTACTCCAAACTTTAAAGATATATGGTATCTTCACCCCCTGCATGTCTTGGAGTATTCTTTAAAGAGAAGACTAAATACATAGCAATACAGATGGAGGAAAGGACCCCTACAGTGCCACATTTTACAAAGAGTATTGATATGGCATAATGTTGGTCCAGGTGTTGGACCATGACTCTGGGGACAAGGGCTCAGGCATGAAACACACTTTTTCCACAGTACACATGCATAATTTCACTGAACAAACTTCAAAACTTTACAAGAAAAATAAAGGTTTACCAATGACTATAGTCAAGGTGCTGTCTAATTAATGTGTGTGGCTGGACAGTTCCATAGGCATCAACCTCAGGCATATTAAGATCATCAATGAAGTAAATTAATTTTTTCATGCCTGGAGGAGCATAATTCCTGCCAGCTTTCTTTTCCAAGGATCTTTCAAGAACACCTGCCAAGAGAAAAGATGTGTGAGAACAATGACAATGACACGGGTCAAATATTCATCAGGATTACTTATTTATGCTGCCATACGATGATGCCAAACCTCTTAGAGGCTAAAAATCCTCAAGTATTTTTATGAAATCCAATCTGATCTGACAACCAGAATATGTCAGACTGATAGATTTTAAAGATATCCTGTCTAAAAGTATCAGTATGGGCTATGTGGATTTGGCAATTTATGTTTGTTTTACAATTTCAGACAATATGACCTGAACAAATCTCCATAATAGGGTCACCATAAGGCAGAAACAACTTAAAGGCACACAACAACAACTACCACAATTAATTACTGTTGCTGCTACTACTACTACTTTAATTTTTTTTTTGTCGTGTCAGGAGTGACTTGAGAAACGCAAGTCGCTTCTGGTGTGAGAGAATTGGCCGTCTGCAAGGACATTGCCCAGGGGACGCCCGGATGATTTGATGTTTTTATCATCCTTGTGGGAGGCTTCTCTCATGTCCCCGCATGAGGTGCTGGAGTCGATAGAGGGGGCTCATCCGCCTCTTCCCAAATTCGAACCTCCGACCTGTCGGTCTTCAGCCCTGTCGGCACAGGGGTTTAACCCACTGCGCCACTGGGAGCTCCACTGCTTTAAGTATGAATGAAGTCTAAATACAATTTAGAGCCCCCAGTGGCACAGTGGGTAAAAGCACTGAGCTGCTGAACTTGCTCACCGAAAGGGCGCAGGTTCGAATCTGGGGAGCGGTGTGAGTGCCTGCTGTTAGGCCCAGCTTCTGCCAAGCTCGCAGTTCGAAAACATGCAAATGTGAGTAGATCAATAGGTACCGCTCTGGCGGGAAGGTAATGGCACTACATGTACTCATACCGGCCACATGACTTTGGAGGTGTCTACGGACAATGCCGGCTATTCGACTTAGAAATGGAGATAAGCCCCAACCCCCAAAGTTGGACATGACTGGACAATGTCAGGGGAAAACCTTTACCTTTACCTTACAATTCCTAGTCCTGGTTAGAATAGACTCATTGAATTCAGCAACTTATTTATTGTTGTTAGTGATAGGAACTTAGGCCTAAGTTTGCATGTATGCTGCATGTTTAGTTAATGTAGTTCATTCATGGACTTAAGATAAGGATCTTGATATACAGCATGCTACCAAGGCCCTAAGTCCCCTTGGGGAGATAGGGAAGAATATGAATCAATTTTTATTATTAATTTTACCTAGGGCCTAGAATAACAAACCATACACATGATGTCAGGAGATTCCCCACCATTTTTTATGGTTTGTTTTTTTCTAAAAAAAAAGGGAGTGCTTCGGTTTTAGGACATCATTCACAGGTCTCGATAATCTATTGTGCAAATGAAAAAGACAGAATATTTCAGTATCTAATAACAAGGTACCAGCTACTTACGCTGAAGCATAGCAGATGTTGTGTAATAATTGAAAGGGACTTTTGTCACCATATACTCCTCTGAGAGTTTGGTAAGTTTGTCGGATACAAGGACTGTTTTTCCAACTCCAGCGTTTCCCACCAGCATGACTGGCTGACCCTTCTCCATAAGTAAATCCATGAAATACCTCAAGCGGATGGTTTCAGATGTATGAATCAAGACTGTCTGTTCCCGCAGACAAGGCACAGGGGGATATGCATTTTAGAGACAAGGGAAAAAGATATATGTTATGCAGTTAAGAGTGTTCCTTCACAATGTAAATCAATGTAATTGTTTTTATACTTCAATTTAAGTGACAGAAAAGTGAATTTATATATTAAGATTAAACAAGTGGAAATATATAACGGTTACTCAGACTTGATACTTGTCATAATCTTAATTTTGTAATAACAATGAATGATTTTTGACACCGCAAAGATCAGAAGCTAAATAGCTGTTTTAGCAAGATTACATTATATAGCATTTGTAATTCAATGCGGTGGATTACTGCATTTTGCTGTCACTTAAAATACAGTGAAATGTAATATGAGAATTATTGCAATGTCTATATTCACATTTTAAAATATAAATGACATGCTATAAACATAAGTCATAGTGCTACCGTATGATTATGCTGAAATAATATAACATGGACATAAATGAAGAGAAATGATGTCAAATTGCTTTTGCCAATAACTTAGACTGAAAATTCTACGAAAGGAAATCAGAATTAAAATTAGGAAACTTGGTAAATATGGTAGCAATCATTGTATGGATGGAAAAAAATAGGCCCAATTGCTTTGAAAATGAAATTGTAGATATACTTTGATATTTATCACTCCAGGCAGTTCATTCCCACAGCAGAAAATAGGTATATCAATGGCAGAAATGAAGGAAGAAGTTAGCTTGTATAGAAGATAATGCGAGAATTTGGTGAGGTGTTGAGAGGAGGGGAAAGATAGTCCTTTCTCTCTTCAGATTCAAAATGAAAAATCAAGTAAAAGTCCAGAATGGATTACCATTTTACAGGCCCACAAAGAAGCTGAGGAGGCAGACAGAAAAATGAGCATACTTGAGGTGAAATATGCCTATTTCACACTGAATTTCTCCCACAGCTACAAGTGTTATTCATCTGTGTCTGGGGTATGGATAAATATGCTGCTATGTTGGTGTTGTGGAGGAAAAGCATAAATTGCACCAAACAGTCTAATAATTACCCGAGTTATTCTAATTAATTGTGATTCTGGTTATAGTTTTTATTGTAGTGATTAATTGATACTTTGTGGTATTCTAGTTAAGTTAATGAACTTATCTGTGCTTGGTTTATCCAATTGGAAAATGGACAGATTATTACTTAATTGTATTATAGGCAAGTGGTGATATTTGATTAGGGTTAGACCTCAGTCACAAGTTCCGTTTGATAGCAAAAATTTTTCCCCCAACTGAGCTGTGAAATCTAGCTATCAAAAATTGACAGAAAGCTAACTTCAAGAACAAGGAAGTACGGGTTTTGGAAAAGTTATTTAAGGAATCTATTGATAGTGTCACACCTAAACTGCAAGTAAGGCACCCTTCTTAATATCTGACTGTATGCTATGCACAGGCTTTCTTTCCCATCTCCTTTGCTGACCTTTCATTCATTGGTGGTGGGCTGACTGCAATTAGCCTTAGATTGCTGAAAGCTCTTGCCACCAAGAAACCTATGAGCATAACCTTGGATCACAGTATTCCTTATCTAGTATCTAGGAAAGTGATGGGATGGGATGGAAAGTCACAAAAACTCCATCAGAAAAACATACTTAGGCTCTCCTTGTACTGATGAAACTCTTCACTGGTGCTAATGAATCCGTGGAAGAGATAGTGTGGTGGCAACACAAGTTAGGTTTTGCTGACAGTTATATATGACTCATGGGATGGACTGGGATGACAACCTCCTCCTCCTCCTGTTTCTTCAAAGTCTCCATGTTGAGTAGAATTCATATGGAAACAATGACATGCAAGCATAAGCGTCCCTGTCATGTAGATTGTACACCATAAAATGGAGGTGGACAGATCATCCAACTGAAAACAAATGCACTTGAGGTCTACACATCTAAGCTTCTACATACAGAAGATCTCCCATATCTGAATGTTGGGGATACTGAGAGAGTGGGGAGAAATGGTGGTGAATGCAATTCTTTCCCTCAAACCATTATTTAAACCAACACTGGAAATATATGCCCCTAAATAAGGCATTGAATTGTAATTCTTATTGTTCATCAGTAGCAGTTACAGTATCAACAACATATGGAAGGCCACCAATACCGAGCTTCTATTCTGGAAAGTTTGCAGATGGCTCTAATCAGTTTGTGAATGTCATCCTGCAATTGTCTGGTAAGGAGCAAGCATGTGGGCTCAGACATTGCTTTCATGTGCATTCTAGCTCCATGTGATAAAGAAATGATCAGTATAAATAAATAAACAAAGTCACAATGACCTCTTCTGAGCGGAAATGTTCAAGAATGCCCTATAAAGAAATAAAAGTGTCTGTGTTTTTGTGTCAATGTAAGAGGAAAGGGTATTAATATTCATGGTGTCTAGAATTCAACTTCCAGCAGCAATTTCCCATAAATTCCTAATGGCAGCTAGCAAAGCAACTGAAAGTAGCACCAAAATGGCCAGCCTGCTTCCAGCAGGGTAATGATAATCAGACATTTGCAAGTCAGCCACCAAACAACGCACTCAAAGTTCCCTAGAATATTCAATATTGCAATGAAAAGCTCCAATTGTAGTTCAAATACGTCTTCACTATGAGTGCATTGGATCATTTACCTTAACAATGTGAACGTGCTCTCATTATCATGTTCAACTTGATTAGTGTATAGTCTAACATTTAAAAGTGCACTTCAGATGGAAGAATGTATGAATGCATGATTGGTTCCTAATAAACTGAGCAACCTCCTAATGAACTGTGAGGGATCTAGAAGGGAGTGGTGGATAGGCAAAGAGAAAAGGCTCGGGTCCCCCCCCCCCCAATACATAATATTTTTAAAAAATTAGGAATATGTTCAGAAATACAAGATACAGCTTTTCATTCCTAACATATTCCTAAGTTGTTTTAAGACTAGAGGTAGGAAGACTGTAGAATTTGAGAAAACAGTTTACTTGAAGAGCATAAGTAATACAGATGTACAGTATAGCATTACACCGTGGTGCAAAAAGGTGCTATGTTACTCCTTTTGCAGTGTAAACTAAACTTAAATTACTTTTATAACTAATCTGGGGCCAGATAAGGAATGTTCTTGGTTCCAGTGCAGACCTCATACTTTCTTGCAGGTGTTTTTTTTATTTTTTTATTTTATATTCCAGTGCAATTGGTGACTGTATTAAGGCAGTTTTCAATAACATTAGGAAGGTTGACAAAACCATACTATGCTCTGCTTATGAAGGTGATAATTAAATGGATCGGAAGAGATTTTTCAAACTAACTAAAAAGATTATATTTTAGAAAATAACTTCACATATTTTGTAAACAACTGTTACAGTTTTTCAAAAGGATACATCTTAAGTCAAGGAATTATTTATTCCTGGATCTTGGAAAAGCAACCATGACTAATTATAGACTAAGCATTCCTTATCTAGAATTCCAAAATCTAAAATACTCAAAAATCCAAAATTGTCCACATGAATGGCTATGATACCTCTGCTTTCTCATGGTTCAACTTTTTTTCATACACAAAATTACTTTAAAATACTATAAATTTACCTTCAGGCTAAATGTGTAAAGTATATGTAAAATATAAACAAATTTTGTTTATATATCTCATGCTATGCAAATACAGGTACCCCAAAATTCAATCAAACTAAAAAAAGATATCCAAAACATTCTGGTCCCAAGCATTTTGGATAAGGGATACTCAACTGTACTTTTTCAAAGCTATTTTCCAATATCTTGATTGACATTCTTCCAAAACTATAGTTTTGAGTGTTGTGCTCTGCTCTCTGGATAACCTTTCCTGAGTGGAACAATATATTTGAAAATTCTATTTCCTTTTCCGACTCCCTTTCAGCTTTGGCTGCTGGTGCTACATAGTCATTCCGCAGGCCATTTTCACAAGGAAAATTGAGGAAATGTATATAGTAAAAATGTTCCAACATGCTCTTTTTTTTTTTCTTTTAATAGTATCCGGCATAGTGCCTTTTCCCGGTTGGAATACTGGCTTCCAGTGACTCATTTTGCACATATCCTTGTAAAATATATATCAAGGAGGATCAATGGATTTTCCATGCATTCCTCATCTAACAATGGGTAAGATTCAGTGATGTGTGGAAGAACTGCAGCAAAGGTCAGCTGCTGTATAACAAAGGAATGGTGTTGAAAACTATTTTATACAAGCCGGCAAGTGCCATCCAAGAATTGTGTTGAAAAGTAAATGAGTTGAGAGCTACTTAGATAATTTTACATTTCTCACTGCAGTATTTGGCACCATGTAAGAAGGCATACTGATGAAAAGTATTGTTTATACAGTATCTTTCAAGGCCAGCCCTATCATCAGATAGAGAGACAACTTCCTAACTATATGCTGAAGAAACTTCTCTTGTGTCTTCCAGTCAACTGAATCCTGAGCTTTCCTCCCACTTGAGGCACAAAGTGAAATCCCACCACACGCATTGCAATCATCCTTCTTCATCATCAGACCTCATGATACCACCACTACCCCTGCCTCCACCCATTTCATCCTGTTGGTAGATAGAGCTGTGTTTGCATTTTGATATAGTGGAAGACATGGGCCCATAAATGTAGTACACTGCTTTTTAAACTGTGGGTCCCGACCCCAAAAAGGGTCCCAAGCTGAAGAGGTTCCTCATGGCTATTTCAGACATTTTCACGAATCTGTTGTGTAATGTTTACAATGGACTCTGAAAAAAATGCTTCAGCTGTACTTCATAGAAAGGAAAATCAGTTTGTTTAGCAAACCTTGCAAATACTGATTTGTTATCAGTAAGTTTGGTTTCTTGAAATTTGGTTTCTTGTACAAAATTCTTGAAAAAAAAATCACCCCAAAAGAAAATTCCGTTGAACTGTCTCCCAGAATCCTTCTGTAATGAGGAACTTATTTCATTTCTCATTAGTGAGACATCCTGAGAATGACTCAACTGCTCCACTCTAATTATGAATAATTGAATTATGAAAGTAAAGAAGTTGT